CCTCTGAAACCTGGGTTCAAACTTGAGGCATTCTGTAGGAAAATGCATAGAAATACCACTGCACCAACATGCTTATCGCTTTAATAACAATTTTTTATTAAAACCAATAGCAACCATTTACAAACAAAAATGTCCATCGTACATTTCATAATCCCTGTTTGAGACCTCCCCTTGTTGGAATTTACCCTTTTTAAATTAGCCTATCTTCTTCCCAGAGGTCTAATCTCTGTACCAAATTTCATCGCAATAGGTCCAGTCGTTTATGAATTCTTAAAGGACACACACACATTAATTTTTAATCTATAATCTATCGATTTATTATTATAAATTGAAGGCGGACATGTTATTAATTTCATCTTCAACTATATTGTTCCTATAGATAAGAGCATCCTATTGGCCCCATTTATGGAGAGACCCAAAGTTTGATTACCTCTTTATGGGCATTATAGACCAATAGAACAAAAATTCCTAGAAATTAACAACTAAAACTATAACAATCATAATTCATAACAAATAGCAACCTTGCAATAAACAACAATATATTATTATTTAGTTTTTCTTCCTTGACAGATGGCGCCAATGTAGTATTTTTTTACATCCAGATTTCCCACCTTTCCGGTGGATTTTCCTAAAATTGTAGATATTACTGTAAACCTATTCCTGACAATTACGAACACAACCAAAAAAGAATTAGCGAAATCGGTGCAGCCGTTTACGCGTGATGCGATGACCAAGGGAAACAGGCGTCAATTTTTTATATATAGATAGAGATTTTCAAACATTAACAATAATATTTTTTGCTTAATAGTTTAATACCTTTATATTATATATTATAATATATCCCCGAAATAAAATATTACGTTTCCTAATAATATTTTAACGATATGTAAATAATAATAATTATTATTACAAGTACATTTTACAAGTTTGACTTAGTAATTACTAATTAGTATAGGCTGATACATAATATTTGAAAGATTGTAAAATAAAAAATGATAATACATAATACAAATTACAATGATAATGATCGATACATCAAATAAAATAAATAATTATTAAACAATTAGTTAATGAATGTGGGTACCTAATCAGTAATCTTTTAAAAGAACTTTTAACATACTTATGTTGTAATTGTTGATAATGTTAATAATGTAATAATTACACTAATTACGTTTTAAAAACGCCATGTGGTTGTCAGTAATATTGTAGTTTGAGGGTTACTTTTCCGAGGGTCAGGGATTTTTTTCATGGGATTTTTATTCCTCTATTACCTTTCTCTATGTTATAGTTCAGAGCATGGGTATACTGTAAAATTATGTGTAATAATCTTACCAATTACAAAATAATTTATATCATACAGACATAAATGTTTTGCTTAAAACGAATGCAAGCATATGATATTTACCATATTTATCATCATAGGCGTGCGCAGAGTTTAAGTTCGGGGCGTGCCCGTGGAAAATTTGAATTATACATTATACACACATAGACAGAGTATAGTATAGATATTATAGAAAAAAATAGAGCAGAAACAAGTCAATATTAATTATTATTGGTTACTGGTTAGTATATAATATTTACAGATTCATATGTCTATTTTCTAAGGTGTTGAACTCATGGATGACAGAATCCAAGTTTATCCCACTTGTCAACTCTTGTTCGGTGAATAGTAACAGTACCGTAGAATGGGGTAACTTTGATTTCGTGAGGTAACTTTGATAATATGATATTTTTATTCACCATAGTACCACGACAATTTAATATTTTTTTCATAAACTGGGGTAACTTTGATAACACATTACGAAATGCTGGTATCAAAGTTGCCACAATTTTAAAAAGATTGAATAAAAATATCTCAGAAGATAACATCAGAAATTTAAAAATGTAAATGTTAAACAATTGAGGATAATTAGCTATAACTAAGATTTAATTTTTGGAATTTTATCGTTAATACTACAGAAGTTATCCATAAAATAAAAAGTAAAATTGTAATAAAATGGTACAAATTTATCAAAGTTACCCCATATTTTACTGTAACGAATCTAATCGTTCCTGTTTCATCGTACTTCTAAGTTTTGATTTTACAATTGTCATTTTGGAAAAGACTCGTTCGCATGTACAACTTGTGACTGGGATAATAGTAAATAATTGTAAGGTTTTATAAAAACAACTGTAGGTAGAAATACTATTGTTAGTTTTCAGCCAATCAAGCCACAAATAAATGGACTCACTAGATGTACCATAAACAACAATCATTTCAGGTTTTATTTCTATGTGTAGCAGACTAGCAATAGCTTCAATTTAGCTCAAAGTTTCTTGATTGAATCTTGAAATAATTGCCGATAATAAATCATCAAGTAGTTCATAATAAACTGATATCTTCATTTCATCTATTTTATTTTTTAAAAAAAATTGAGATTTAGATTTGTTATCAATTTGAGTCGATACTTTTTTACGAAGAACGTCTGGATTCCATGTTTTTTACATAAAGCAACTGCTTGTTCAAAAATATTTTCAAATTCTTTATTTTCATTTCTTATACTTTTAAAATTTAATGTTAAAGACCGTACATTATCAATTGCCAACAAAAGATTTAGTTTTGGTGATTGAAGTACTGAGCTAACTTTTAAAATAAGATTTAATATTGGATGCATCATAAACATGCCAAAAATGAACTCAAATCTTTTTTATGTATTGTTGTCATGGATGAGGATGACTTGGTGATACCCCAGTTCTCCTGTACTGATAAGCATGTTTGAGACATAGGGCGCTTCGGCCCTTGGAAAATCTCGGGGCGTGCCTGGGCACGCCCGGCACGCCCTGTGCGCACGCCTATGTTTATCATAGGCAATATAATATAAAAATAGTTTAAATAAAAATTTAAAAAATTAAATAATTACATTTAAAAAAAAAAAAATAAGAAATAAAGTTTAATTTTTAAAGATTTGTTAATATTATAGGGAAGAATTGAATAATTTTTTTTGAGGGGGCTAAGCGCCCTCCCAACCCCCCTAGTTGCATCTATGAGCATGACCCTACCCCTCTGGTTTTGGGGGCCTATAGAAGCCAGTAGGTTCATACTATAATATCTACTATTTACACATATTATGTTATACCTAATATGGTGGGGGGGGGGGGGATGGATTTTTTGAGTCAATTATATTATTTTTCCAAACAATTTTGATTTATAGTTTTTTCTATCTTAAAAATGTAATGATTAAGATTTAAAAGTGAGTTTAAGGTTTAATTAGTCTTGCGAATTTGCAATAGTAGGTACAAATTATACGAAATCACAACATTTACATATTAAATGCGATAATCGATAGTAAAAATAATAACAAATAATACGACTGAAATATTTAGTGTTGCCCTAAAACTTAAATTGTTATCACACTGTATATCTGATTTATATGTATTATGATATATATTATATTTATTTATGAGCATCATATCGTATTCTCCTCCATGCTTTGCACCAATGCACCATGTTCTGTAATAATAATAAATTATGAACAATAATTGCAGTTTAAATAATATTGTAATTTACTATTATCTTGATAATTAACAGGTGATGAACATGTCATACTCGATAGTGTCTGTTATACTAAAATAAGAGAACACACTTACTGCCGAATACATTTAGCAATATTTATTTCACAATTTAGGTACTCCTTGTACCTGTATGAATACTTTAACTTTAGAGTACTATAAATAAATATTTGCATGCTTTATGGGATTGAATAATTGATGCACTAATATTTAGAATATAATAGTACATTAAGTTAATAAATTAAAAAATGTTTTTCTTAATTGTTACTTACAAGAAATTACTTTAGATACAGTGTTATCATTTAGAATAAAGATCATAACTCGTACATGTTATTATATTATTAATGATATTTTGAACTGTACACAAATTATATAAATAATTATTGCTTCGATCTTGATAATTACAATTAAGTATTTTATAAATTTAGATTCTAAGCGTCATATTGTTTTATATTATGAAAGTTTCAAAAATATTTTCAAACAAGTAACCAAATATGAATCTTTATAATATTTATACATTTTAAACATCACTGTCGGACTGATCACTGATAGTCGATAGATAAACATAATTAAATAGATACATCAAAATCAGAGTTTATTATAGTAGTTCGTGTAGTGCAAAATAACTCATTAGTATCTGATGATTAACATCTATAATATTAATTAAAACTGATCAATTCAAATTTAATAAATATTAATTTATCTAAACAACGGTTGAGCTAACTTATTTTTGTGTAAAATTAGTAATAATATAACCTTAACAAACTCTAATCGTCAGTTAGTTTTAGTTTTTTTTTTTTTTTTGTTCAATATCGGTTATAACTTATAAGTTATTACAATAGTTAATGTACATTGTATTTTCTTACAAAACAGTAATAAATGAAAAAATATCTCATCAAATATCAATGTTTTTTTTTATTGATTACATAAAAAAATTACAACTTTGTTCTTAGACAGTCTTATACAAAATATGAATTAAATTAAACATTGTGCAAACAACTAAGATGAATATATTTTAGAAAATAATACAGTCTTAGATTGTTTTGGTTAATTAATAAATAAAAAAACAAATTAACTTTAAATACATAACTACTGCAGTATAGTACACATAAAATGTGTATGTTTCTCTTTTATTGATATTTTAAAAATCTCATACTTAAACTCAAAAAAATCGGAACTAATTATAAAAACTAAACTCAATGCACACTTATATCCTTTTTAAGCAATGAATGAGATTAATGTAAAAGTATTCAGTGCTAAAATGATTAACACATAGTACTTCACATGGTTCATTAAATATAAAATAAGTAGTAAATAATAATATTGTATACAATAAACAATTTGTACTTTTCAACACATAACACATACAAGAGTCAGAAATGTATATATCATAATAAAAAAAAGTTTTGCATTAATTGTATAAGATTGGATTGAATAATTTTACTGTATAATTATTGTTTCACTGAAGGACCTTCTTGTGTATTATAACTTGGTGAATACGGCGGTGGGTTACAATACTCTTGAAGGCTTTGTTGGCTTGGCACAGGCATAGCAACGTGAGACTGAGAAGAAGTTTGCTGTTGTGGCTGATACTGGTACGTTTGCTGAGGATAAGGAGCTTGTGTAATGGGCTGATGCACTTGTTGAATAACATAAGGTCCACCTTGCACAGGATAGACTGGGGTCTGCAGGGTTTGACTGGTTATGGTCACATATGGCGTGGCATGCAACGTAGGTGGAGTTATAGCATTAAGTTCATCATCATAAAAACATTTCACCACATAAATCTGATACACTACCACTACTAATAACAAATAAAAATGTCGAATATTAGAACATTTTAATAATCAGTTTATTTTAATATTATATAAGTAAACATTTGATACATACTGCTTACAGGAATTCCAATAGGAATTATATCAGGTGATGCATTTTTTACTGTAGTAAAACCAATAAAAAGAACAAAAAATACAAAAAATATTGAGTTTATCACCAACCACTGATTGATACTTTGAGCATTCCGCTGAAAACAAATATACAATTGAACATGATTAATTTTATTTATTTAAATACTGTCTAAACTCTAATGAGTTAAGAAATATCAAACTGTACTCGGCGGTCTAATTTCACACAGGAGCATGGCATTATTACATGGCACACATACCGATGGTCAACTCGGTAGGAGAGAACAACTAAAACTTGCCACCCGGAAAAAAACTAGACGCCGTCGAGTACGATTTTTAATTTAATATAATGTATTGTATCTTAACAATAAAATATAATTGTTCAATAAACATTAACAAAAATATCATACAACAGTTAACTTTTATAATAATTATACTTTAATCATAAACAAAAAGATAACTAATGCACAAATTAAGATATACAGGATACGGAACAGAAAGGTCTTATCAATGTTTTTCTGAATCTACCCGCTTCTCACGTTGCGGGGTTTCACTTATCACAAGTTTGTTTCGTGTCCTATATATCTTAATTCATGAACTATGCAACTATTATTATAATAAAAGTAAATTTTTTGAATATGATTAAAACTGTTAAGTAGTGTTATTATTGAAACACCTAATATAAAAATATTGTACTCCTGGAATAATACTATTTTCTTTTAGTTAGTAGTTATGAAGGAATTCATAACACTAATCTACAATAATCTCAATAATGATAATATAAATAAAATACGAGCAAATGATACATTGGTTTAACAGATTTGTGTTTATTTTTAACATGTTTTTTCAAAACGTATCATTACAATAAAAAGTTGTTTTAAATTATAATAAATATTGAACAGTAAATATTAAAATTCTGAGTACTGTAAACAAGTGCACTTTATGACAAAATCAAGCAAAGTTGTTATTTATTGCGGTATTTAATCAATATTGGATAACCAACCCAAATTTATGATTTACAACATGTTTATTATATATTTATATAATATATAATATTCTGATCGTTGACACGATGTTAGTTTAACTTTTATCAAAAAAATATTGAATGACAATCCTATTCTGTTATCTCAACTTAGTTTTAAAGTACCTTCCCGCAGAAAATGTCGCTCTATTCCATTCTACATCATCCCCACGTGCCACTGATTTTAAAAAAATTAACATTTCTATCGTTGTATGTTACAATCCAATTTGGACCCCTCCTTTTCTCTTTTTTAAGTATGAAACTGTGAATTAAAATATGTTTTTCTCTTTTTTTCTTAAATTGTTTAGAAAAAAAGAAACTACTATGTAATATTTTCATGTACTATTACTTATCGTTACAAAAACTATATGACGTTAATTGATAAATAAATAAATAATATGTATATACATTGATATTTTAATAACAATATAAATGTTAAGTAAAAAGATTAGTAGAGGTGTATATAATCTAAAATGATTATTAAATGATTTAATATGATAAAAATTGGTTGCTTATAGTATTATGTATTATATTATTAGACGCACACAATAACAAATTGTGGAAACTATATGGTTTATATCTTTATTAGTCAGCAACCTATTCAATATAAAAATATACATTTTGTGTTTAATAGTTAGGTAGTTTGTTATTGATATTTGATACTTTAATTTAGTATGACAGACATATTCAACAAACTGCAGATCAAAACATTATAGAAACTAGATTGTACACTGCACAATATTGTTTGTTAAGGAAACTTTTATGAAATACTTGATTCACATTAAAAAGATAACAAGCACAATTTTTTTTCTAGTTACGGATTACGTTATTTTTTTGTAAATTATAAATTTATTATATTATCTACACAAACATTTTGAAGACCGCAGGTTTTCAATCCCTAGAAACCATTTATATAATATAATTATATGTAAGACGAGAACAATATAATTAATTGTAATACACTCATAGATATTTAACAAACATATCTACAGACAGTCATGTTTATAATTCTATATCTCTAGTATTATATTGTTATGCACAAATATGTAAAACAAACATCACAGTATCCTATAATCTATGATAAGTTTTAAAATTGAAAATAAAATAGATATAATAAATTATGAGGTTATTGAACCAAACACTTTTTGAGCATATCATAGATTGTTCCGCTACCTAAGAATTGTTATGTTTTACTTATTACTTATTAGACATCTATCTACAACTCAAGGTATAGAATTCTTTAATCAATATAAATAAGAAAAATTCAACCTGACATTCTTAATTGTTTGTTTCAATTAGAAATATTTTAATCATAATATATTCAACTTACTATAAAAGTGGCTTTCTTTAGATTCAAGTTGACATAAAAAAATAGAAAAATTATAAATAATTGACTAAATAGGTTGAAATCCTTTTCCAATAGTTGAACACGATGGTCACTGGAGATGGTTGATCCATCATCTACAAAACAAAGAAAATATTATATTAAATGAAATAATTTAAAATAATTAATATTTCTGCTTTTATTATTTTACTAAATAAGGCTCATTCAAGTTCGAACAATTGTAACAATTGGTAATTACCAATTTATACTTATAGAAATTAAAGTAATATTTTAATAATAAATCAGTAAAAATTATTTTTAAAACTTGATAATTTGCATATTATTTCTAATAGACATAATACATAATAAATAATAAATAAATTATATTAAGATAATATTGAGCGTTACTAATTAATATATATCAAAAAAGTTGAAACGAAGAGCATAATTAAATTACTAACATTTTTATAAAAACATGAAAATTACAAAGCTTAAAAAACGTTGCAATTATCTACATAAAAATGATTCATTTGTTTATATGTTATAAATTATGATACACACGGAATGATAAAAAGAGACAAAGATGTATTATAGAGGTCAACCAATTTGTAATTTGACAGTTATATTTCTGTCAAAATAAAACACTAATTATATTTATCCCTAATATTGTTTGTTACATTCTTACATTTTGTAAAGGGCTATTCCCTGTGATCATACAATAAATAAATAAATATTTTAATGGTAAATGTGTTAAGTTATTATGAGTATTTTTAAAATGTGATATATTTTTCACTAAATCCTCCTATTAAAATTTAAATACAGACAAAAAGCCGATGTAAGAACACAGATAATGTTCTCACCTTTAAGTTTAATAATAGGTCAATTCACTCGAATATTAAAATTAACAACAAAAAATTGGAGCGGCTGAACTCATAATTTGCTTTGTTGTACCCACGGATAAATACATGGACTTTAACACCACACAAATGATTTACCATTAAAACATTAGATATTTTGATTAAAAATAAACAAATAATGTACACTTACCATACGAATTCAATTTTTTGTATGTATATGTATATGGGGTGATGTTTAGCGTAGTAAGAGCTCTCACCATGAGTATTATACAAATTAACTAAACAAACAAAAACACACACATTAGTTGTAAACAATCTTCATACAAAGTCATAATATATTTTTTTAAAGCTAATGCAATATGTATAGGTATAAGTGGTTAGAATATATGGAGTTATAAAATGAGTTTTACCATAGATTTATATATTTTGTTTAAATATTAGCTCAACATGACACATGATATAGTTTTTACGACATTGTAGGTAGTGTACGATAAAAAAAAAAACACTTGGATAAACTGTTAATTCGGCTTAATGCTGTTAAATTACCCGATTCAATCGATTTTTTTAAAAATATAATTAAAGCAATTATTTAGTAGGTACCTATACAACAACCACATAGCTTCTAAGATAACACAGTATAATGATGAGCAAAGACGTATTATTAACATTATGACACAATTATAATGTATAAACATAACACCACTTGAAAGAAATGTCGGGTTATGATTAATTCATCTCTTAGATTCGGAATTTTAAAATAATATTTAATGATTTTACGAAAACTTTTTATTTCTTTTGACGTATAACGTGAAAATAGATGAGAATTTTATTAATATAAAATAAAATAAAGACATTTCTAAATTTCTTATCAAAATAGGTACCCCAGATTTATTTTGCATAAAAAATGTACGTGATAGTCAAATGCTCATATAAATGTATTAATTGTTACCCGTTGTTCGATGAATCATATTTTCATGTTCATTAAGGTTTGGAATTTATACCGTTTTCATCAATAAAATATTCTATTACAAACAAAGTAAACCAAACACAATATAACCATAAAGGTACGGTTGTTATTTTTTATTATTATTAAAAATACTTTTGAAACACGATTAATTTGAATTTAGTGAAGCCGATATTTAACGTTCATGCGACTGCAACACTTTTCGAGGTCAGCAGATAGGAAACGTTATCGTGTGACAACAAAAGGGTTTTGAACAGTTCATAACGATATGATATTATCGTGGCCAAACGAAGACAAATTGACGGTCGGAGGACCAACAACTTTGCACAACTGATACAAATATCGTAATACTGAGAAGTAAGAACATATTAAAATGTTTTATACTTTTGGCCTTAACCTTTCCGATGTTATTCAAGAATTATTTTACGAATTATACGACTATACGAATTCAGAAAATCAATAAAATCGTAAATTGCAACTATACATATTATTACATTGTGGATTAGGTATATTCTATACACTCAACGTCTTGAGAGAGTACAATATTAAAGAAAACGAATTTTATATTAAAAATACACATACAGCATTCGATAAAAAAAAAAAATTATTTATAAGTGGCATACACGGTACACGCGACTCATGACATATCTATTTACACATCGTTCACGTGAGTGATATTTAATATTGAGTGTTGTACACTTGTACTGTAATATAATACCGGACCTATCTAATGATTAGGTCTCATCAAACAGAGAACTAATGAGTAAACGTTTTTTTTCTCTATAGGGTTAGACGTTAGACTTATGTTATGTAGGCATGTGTAATAAGACCAGTGACTCTGAAAACCGAATGGCTTATTCAGAGGTTTTAATAAAACAATTATTTGATTTGAATTGACAAAAGACGGAGTACTGTAAACAAAATATAATATTTTAATTATTATATTATAGAATATAGACCGACTAGTGTGTAACGATGTGTTGACGATCAACGTACACTTAAATATTTGTTAGGTACATATTATAGTATACAAGGTATCGATCACAATCTATTTTGTTACGAATATACTTTGGATACACACGATTCACAAATGACAAATCGGTTGATAAATCGTTAAGCCGATTAGGAGAAAATGCTCCAATAAAATATAACTTAAATCGTACGAAAAAAATTAACCACAAATTCGCTATTATAAAAAGTTGTACGTACCTATACGAGTATACGAGAACAGAAAAATAATTGTTGTGACCAATGTTGGTGCCGTCTAAATTTAATTTCTTGACGAAAGCGAAATATATGTAACCTACGTTATCTTCTGATCGTGGTGCACAACCTATAAATATATAACGTCACACAAAGGCGTGTTGAACAATTTTCAGACCTAAGGCAAACTATACCATTTCACTATCAACCCACAGCTTTAAGTCTACATTTTTATTTCTTTTATTATTCAAAACTTTTTATCGTACTAAATCCATTGCCCGGTTAAGTTAGATACCCATCTATTTATTTTATAGGGCAATTGCTTCAAAAAACCTACATAGGCTCTCCTCGCCACTGACGTCACGTTGTTAACACTAATTTTTATTCGAATTTATTATTTGAATCATTGAGCGTCAACCGGTGTTCAAATTGGAGTGTTGAATCGTGTTGTCGGTCGTGGCATAATATGTGTTATTTCGTCAGATGCAGAAAAAAAAAACGTTGGTTGAAACTTCAAATAACCCAAAAAGCATCCCATCTTCAAAACACGGGTTGTCATTATACATTTATACAGTGTACACGGTTATTTATTCACATGGCCGTGTGTCCTTTTACCAAGATATTACGTTAGTGCATCCAGCATTTTATATATTCTATAATATACACTTAAATTAATTTAAAATTAAGAATCGAATACTCTATAGGCATTGACTAACTAGCTGCTGACCTATGGACGGTGTCACTTCATGTTAGAAAAATGTAACCAACTACCACCAACAAACATAATAGGTATACAACTATAGTAAAAAAGTTTCGGGTAGGAAAAACGATATAAGGTATTTTATGTATAGTATACACGATATAAGAAGCAACTACGCTGATGATGTTATGATTAATATTTCTAGTTACTCACCATGTCGAAAATTGATATCACCCACGCACCCTTGCGCACGTTAGAACACCCGAAACAGCATCTGGAGTCCGCCATTGGTCTGAAATAACAACAACGGCGTACAACGATATTATAATTGATGTGAGTGTAGATAGAAATAGTATAAAATTATAATCGTTGTTGGGTTTTTGTTTTGTTATATGATAACAATATAATATTTTAAAGTAACAACGACCAACGACGGTGCCGACGCGGCGGAGGACCGAATTCAAATGAAACTGAATATGGATGCACATCGCACGCGGAGCGTCACTGCTCGCCATACGACGAGTCGTCGTACAGGTGCAAGCGTACAACACTTGTCACGGGACGTTCCATCGTATGGGTTGGTGCGGGGTGTTGCGGTGTTCAGGGGCGCTCGGTCGTTTTAAAAATGCGGTCCTAGGTGTTCGGCACGGCTTTTCGGTTCCTATAGTCCATCAATAAATACTTTTTTTTTTTATAAATTATCGTATTACAATACGCTGCCGGATGACGCATCGGATAATTATTAGAAAAAATATTAATTAATTATAATCGTATATTCGTATTTCGTATCATTATATATTAATTTATCATAGTGCTATTATGCTGTGGATAATTTCGTCCCGTTATCGATTTGTACAAAGCCGCTGCTGGTGTTATCACAGTATAAAATATGTAATTATTTACATATTATAACTAAATATTTTTATAAAGTATAATAGTTAAAACTGAAAATAAAATATATACCCATTGGTAATAAGCAATAAAGAGCCGTCGGAGTTATTTCGATGAATTTTTCGAGACTTTAGCGCGGACACAGCAGATCTTATAATAGTAGGTAACACGAAATCTATCGACGGCAACCGCGCGGTGTGACTAAAATATTATAATAAAGGTCGTGGTCTGCTCTCTTGACTCTTATGCAAACGGCCTTCGTCGTGTGTCCCGGACAAACGATAAACGCCAAGACAAAGTCATAATATTATACATTTATACGTATTACCATCGATCAACCACAGCACTTTGTGTATAATGTATAATAAATCAATGGTATTAAACGCGTCGTGTAATAATCAAATAGTTTATCGTTTTTAGTGCGTATATATTATAGCCGTTTGTTTTCACCACACACGCACAAACAAATCGAAATGAACATAATATTAGTATACACTATACAGTATATATAAATATATATATGTATATATTGTGTGTATAGAGTATCAGATTTGACCAGTTTGGGAACCATTATGTTATGTCGACACAAAAGCAATCGTCGTGTTGTAGTGTACGTACAGAAAATACTTAAACGCAAACACACGGTCATATTTTTATTAAGGTATGCCAGACAACCGTCCGTACAATCAGTATATATATTGTTCGGCTCGGCGCCACCGAGACCGCGCGTTATAATATATTATTATAACGTTATTATTTATTATATAAAATAATATAAGAATAGCATAAATATAATTTCTGATGGATTATACTTCCCTTCCCCCCTCTGGAAAGAGAAGCACACACGCTCGTACGCGGTCGGTCGGGGTCTAGTAGGGGGAAGTTTTGGTTTTTTTTTTAAAACGTGGGTACTAGGTAGTCTATCAATTTCCGAAACCGATCCTTCCTGTCAGACGAACGCGTCTTCAAAAATGTCAAACCGACTTTGTTTGCAGGCGGTGTTTATCGCGTGGGCGTTGACATTTAGACGTATTGAGGTGAAAACAACGGTCAATGCTTTCCATTATTTTTTTCTTTTCCGGCCAAAACCACGTAATAGTTTATTATAATATTATCATTTAGAAAATAATAAAATTGTTTGTGTTAAATGAACAGCGACGTCGGTTTTATTATAAACCATATTAATAAAATATTTTAATATTTTACATGCATATTATAATCGTTGTTATTCTTTGCGGGGGCAGACGTCTGCAGTCTGCACTTGTCGATAATGCATAATATATTATAAAGAATAACCGTGTTAGCAATACAATTATAATCATAATTTATTATGATTTATACAATATTTCATTACTAACACGTGAGAAATGAGTTACCGATAGAGATACCAGGAATAAAAAGAGATATGACGTTCATATTATTCTCGTCGAAATATATACACAGATATTTTTAGTTATATTATGATATTATGTTTTCTCAGATAGATATTATTTTAATGGGTGCATCTCGGCATCTCGCCATTACGTTGTTACAAATAATGGTAATTCAGTGCCATATTTAGGGAGGGGGTTAGATGGGGTCCCCCCGTTGGTCCCCCTAAATACCTATCTTAACATCTAATATAATATACATAAATATTAAATATATACTGTCAGGGGCGGAGTGGGAACCAAATCCTGCAGGCCGGGAGTTTAAAATTTATCCAGGCCACCCAATAAAAATGTTTTATTTTCATGAGAATTTTATTTTCAATGGCCATTAGCATAAAAGACTCAAGGTGTTCATTGGTCATTGAATTTCTCAGCCTGTCTTTTAAATACTTCAATGTTGAAAATGACCTTTCACAAGCAACTTGCGTAACAGGGAGGGTTAAAATGTATTGATATGTTATAGTTAATGTCGGGTAAGCATTTGAAAATAAATTATATTTAATTAAAACATTATAACAACATATTACACAGTTTTTACAAGACTTGCTACACAGTTTCACAACATCTGACTCTCTAGGTCTTCATTTTCTGAGTCGCTTCCATATGAATATTTATTATACCCATCATCAACAGATTTTAAAAAATGCCATGGTTTTCCGAAATTAAAAAGTTCACCAGATAGGTTGTTTTTTATAACTTTTTCACTTAAATTATCATCAATAAATGGTTTAATTTTGTGAGGTAATTTTGTTAACGATCGGAAGTCCACTTTTTAATAAATTGAAATTTGATGGAGATAATAAAGATAGGTCAATCAACAAATCATTATTATTTGAAACCCGTTTATTCATGCATTCAATAATAGTGTTGGACCACTCTGTTGTAAATGACCAAAGTAAAGTGACCAATAATACAAAATTAATATGTATTATCATTGATTGATCATTATAAATACAAAATACTAGTATTAGACATTAGTAGTATTTATAATCAATGGTATTATTAGTTATTATTAGCCATTTAGCATTGATATATTCATCGCCACTCAACAGCCCTACAGGGTACAACTTGCAGGTTTCAATAGGCGGAAATGCGTGGAATCAGTAATTTATAATTTCTTAGTAGGTACCTAATTAGTTCTGTTGGATTGAACCGAGACCACACACTATCTGGGTGTTTTATAATTATACAAATAACCGACCTGCATCAATATTATATTGCTTTGATTTTATTTCATGTCTATATTTATGTACCAAATATTTTGTAATTTTATATCCAAAGCTTTCTCATAAGAGTATACGATTAAACGAAGCTATTATAAATTATAATGTACTATTATTGCATTAATAATATTTGTAATACAATAATTTAATAGAAACACATTTTTAGCATTTAGCATTAACTAATTGTAAATTAAATTGAATTAAAAATAAAAAATCTAACAAAATGGCCAGGCCACCAGGCCATCTGGAAAATTTCCATTTCCAGACCGGCCACTCTGCCCCTGTATACTGTAGAGGAGCCTTCTACTTAAATGTGTTTGGACAATTAGCTGGACTCCCTCTACGAAAAATACTAAATAAGTCACTGATGTAATTCTAGTATTAGAGCAAATTCGCTGGCTGATATGTTACTGGTGGAAATGGGGTGAAATTGTGATCTGAGAAACTGAATACTCTACAGGGTACAGGTCTAGTTGATCCCCGTCACTTAAATCTCTCGTGTTTTCGATGTTCTAGTCATTCGATATAGAATGTATATACTCAAAGGCGCAAATAGGGGGGGATTTAGGAGCTAAGCCCCCCAAAAATGTCCATAGCCCTCCCAAACATTTCCTACACTTTGTTTTAAGCTTATTCAATATATCATCAAAGTAAGCCTTTAGCCCCCCCCCCCCAAATCTCAAAAGCTATTTGCGCCTATGTATTTACTGCAGATTAAAAGGTACGAAATCACACATGTTAGGTATTCGTAAGCAATTCCCTAATTAGATACTTCCTAGATTCTTATTTGTTAGAGTTTATGTGGCGAAGTAAATTAAACGGCCGCGATCCAATTAATGAAATTTTGAAGGACATTTTAGCCACCTGCATAATTTTTTATTATTTTCTGCATTATTATTTATATAAACTATATGTGAATGATATATATTTTTTTTACTATTTATTTATTTATATATGATGTATATTATTTATCTATTGTTATTTAAATCACCTGTATTTCTAGATTAAATGTATTAGCTTATGTGGTGAATAATTTTTTTACGGTTTATTTATTCATATATATTATGTATCTATAAATACCGAATGAATGTATGATCTATAATATTCTTTAATCTATGATTATAGTTTTGATTATTGACTAAAAAATCGAAATTACGAGAGATTTAAGTTGCTGGCGTCAACTAAACCTGAGTGGCGGAGGCAACTAGACCAGTATCCTCTACATTCTACAGCAATACAGTATTAATAGTATTATATAGTTATAGTTGTGACTTGTAGTCAAGTGGTCTGCAACTGTATAAAAATAAAGACATCCCTCATCAGATAAAAAAATCTCATGCCGTACGAGCTACGAATGACTTGGAAGTTCGGAACCAAATTAAACTAGGTACCTATTTCATGGAGGGTTATATTATTATAATGAAGAAAAACCACAGTCCAGTTATCGGTTTAACGAAGTTTCAATAAGAGGTGACATGACTACATGAGGCTATATGAGAGTATATACTTAAGACATTATCTGATAATATCAATCTGAAACAATATATTCTTCGTCAAGCCTGCACTGAATTTTTAATGTTCGATGCAAGGTTAAAGCGTTGGAAAATGACCGGATTTCGTCACATTAAATATGCTTTTTACCACGACGGAAAAGTTAATGTCTAATTTAATTGGCGGTTTCGAAGGCGGGAAGAGAATTTTAGACTTGGGCAAAATGCAGCCCTTAAGCAGAATAGCTCGCACT